TGTGTTCTCCGGGTGATCCAAGATGCTTCTCGATGGTCCTTGCCGGGAAAAATGCACAATTCCGAACGATGACAAGAAATGGGGGGTGAAGAAAGGGGCCCTGAAGAAGCCCCTTTTTCTTCCCCCCTTTTGGCAAGGCTCGATCTAATAAACAAGGCTTTCCGTTTTCGTTGTTCTCGTTGTCCCTCGTTCCGTCTTCGTTCCGCCCATGCCGCAAAACGAACTCAACACGAAAACGGTCCACGAAATTGCCAAAACACCGCTTAGCTCGAGCTCTGCCATTGAAGTCACCCCCCACGACAGTCGGACCTAGGACAGACGAACATCCTTCAAGAACATGAGACCCTCCGCCGGCCAAAATGAACAGCATTCGAAGGTACCCTCCCCCAGGATGCGCCAGAGCATCCAGCAGACACGAAGAACATTAGGGCACCCTCCCCGAACCGACCTCGATCTGATGTCTCGGTCCGACGGCACCATGTTTGCTTCGGCCCGTCGGCTAGACAATATGGCTTTTCTTTGGCCCCCTTTCCGCTCCGGTGTGGTACATGCTTGCCGCTCATCCTGCGCGGCAAGCGCTTCTCCCCTGCTGGACCGGACGTGGCCTGCGAACGACCGAACGAACGACGGTGCCACTCGCCCGACCCGCGCAGAGCTCCACGCGTTTCCGCTCGGCAGAACTTCTGCGCAGCGTGTCAGGGCGGCGGCCCCATGCGACAAGCCGTGCCCTGCGAGCTGAGGGCGCGCCGCTCGGCCTCGCGGGGCCAGGGGGCGGGGGAGAGCTCGGGACATTCCCAGACATTCTTTGGTCCGCGGGTCGAGAGCGCACCTCTCCCGGTCGAAGCTGAGCGGGCCGCGCGCAGCTTGAATCAGGCGGACATTCCCAGACATGCGACCCGCGATGTCCTGGTTCTCCTTCGGTACGCGCGCCCCCGGAAGGGCCGGCCCTGGCCTCAGGGCCGGTCTTTTCACACCTCGAGCCGTCGACCGACGGCCCCGAGACCTGGGCGAGGGCCCCCAGTGGGCGAGCAACGACATATGTACATGTACGCCCTCCGCGGTCTTGCCTGCACGAACGTCCGCGTTGACACGCACTCCAGGGGAAGCTAACCGCGTACGTGTACATATGTTGCTGGCCTCTGACCCAGACGCCGCAAACGGCCGCACGCCTCCCGTCCTGATCTTGCTCGCGACGCGAGCGTGTCGGGGCCGGCGCTCGGAACCGGGGGCGCGGCGGGCGCGGCGCGCCGAAGCGTGGCGGGCCCGGGCCGGCGGGGCGACACGCCGAGCCAAAAAGCTCTGGACCGCACAGCCCTCGTGCCACCCTCGGGCACGCCAGGCGAGGGACGAGGGGGCCTCCCGACGGCCACGGTGGGCCCCGGCCGGGAGCAGCTTCCCCGACCTGGTCCTCCTCCTCCTCCTCCTCCTCCTCCTCCTCCTCCTCCTCCTCCTCCTCCTCCTCCTCCTGGAGAATGGCCCGAAGACACCAGACCCCCGACGTCTTGATTTCCCCCCGACTGGGGCACCCGGAGGTCCCCCGGGAGCTGCTGTTCCTCCTGGGCCGTTTTCTCGCGGCCCCAGGGCCAGGCGAGGCCCCCCAGAGGCCGAAGGTTGCCGAAAACCTCCCGTCGTGCTCTTTGCATGGCCCCAGGGGCCTGGGAAACCAGAGCCCCATCCTGAGCCCGAAGCGGTTGTTACTTCGGCGTCTTGGCTGCATGCAGCGCTTCTCTCCGAAGGACCCCCGACATCATGACGTCGACCCCCAGAGGCCTGGACCCACTCCCCGAGCGGGACCGGTGTCTTATCCCAGATCCTACTTGGGCGGTTCCGAAGCCTTGGCAAGGGCCCCGAGAGGCTGAAAATCTAGAAAAACGTTCCGTCGTGATTGTTTGATGACTCGAGGGGGTTGGGGGACGCACTGGTCCCAGTCAGTCGGGCTTTGCAGGATCCTGCATGTCCTGCAGGATCCTGCACGCAGCCAGGGTCAGCACACCCCTGGATCTGCAGGATCCTGCAAGATCCAGCGCCCTGCCTGACCCCCGCTCACATTGCCCCCCGTCTCTCGAGCCCTGAGTGTAGCCGACTCCGCGGCCGCTTGGGCGTCGCTTCACGGGGGGGGGCGATACAAGAGGGGGGGCGGAAAGACTGAAGGGGCCCTGGGACACAAATAAAAAGATTCCCCATATTTTCCTATATTTTCTGGGTTTTTGTCCTCCCGCCCAATTCCCATATTTTCCGATATTTGCCTGGGGTCCGACGATTCATTGTGTCTGTGTGTTTTTTTTCCTCCTGAAAGACAGGCACCCCTCTGCGGGCCCGACAGGCTCCTTGCAGGGGCCCCAAAGGGCCCCTGCCAGGGCCCTGAAAGGGCCCCTCCTCTGCAGCCCGCCCCGAGGGGTCCCCAGACCCCCGCCGTCGTGATTTTTGTCATGCAAACAAACCTACCTCGCTTTTGACCACCCTCGCTTCCAAGAGATACCAAGCGAGGCCAAACTACGGCCTGTACTGGTCAGGCCGCTTGACGAGGAGGAACGTGGTACGACTTGGTTTTGCCTGGAAGCGAAAGCGGGGTAGGTGTAATTCACGCCCTGAATGACGTCGACCCCAGAGCTCTCGACCTCTTCCCCGGGGCCGGTTCTTCACCTGGAGTCGTTCTGTTGACGGCCCCGCGGCCCGGCGAGGGCCCCACAGAGGCAGAAAGCGTAGAGAAGCCTCCCGTCGTGACGTTGTTCGTGACTCGAGGGGGTCCGGGGAGGGCGCGGATGAGGACGATGACGAGGAGGACGAGGACTAGGTTGCTGCTGCTGCTGGTGCTCTCCGGAAATTGTTGGGGCCCTCTTGGAACCCTCTTGGTAACCCTGGAAAGCTTATTGGGATCATCTTGGAGGCCATCGATTAAAGGATGGGGGGGGTCCGGGGAGGGGGCCCCTGGAGCCACGAAGGGTCTCGGCACCCCACCCCCGGCCGTCTCACCCAATTCCCCGGGACCGGCTCTTCATCCCGAGTCGTTTTGTTGACGGCCCTGGAGCCCGGCGAGGGCTCCTGGAGGCTGAAAACTGATAAAACCATTTTTTTTCTGCAAACGAAGCCCACCGCCATAGCCAACGGAGAGCGAGCTCCGCACAAACGGAACCAACGAGAATAGGCTAGCAGCAACGAGGAGGAGCAGGAGGAGAGGAGGAGATAAACTCGGGCTCCAGCCTAAAATCGAGGATAGGCCGGTACACCCAGAATCGATACCTGGAAACTGATAGAAAGCCCCGGTCCCTGGGACCCAGTTCTTCATCCCGAGTCGTTCTGTTGACGGCCCTGGAGCGCGGCGAGGGCTCCTGGAGGCTGAGAACTGATAAAACCCCTCCGTCTTGACTTTCTCCATGAGTTGGACCTCGCTTCCTGACGGCCCTAGAGCCCGGCGAGGGCTCCTGGAGGCTGAGCACTGAGAAAGCCCCCCCGTCCTGCTTTTCTCCCATGAGTTGGACACCTCTGGGCCCTTTGGAGCTCCGAGGGGTCTGGGCACCGCCCCCCCCGGCCCAGCGGGCGCCTCTCGGCCGCGCCTCGGCCGCCGAGGCGGGCCCCTCTCCGAGGGCCCGCGGCCGCGCGGCGAGGAAGGTCGCCGCACGGCCGCCGCGCACGGCCCTGGGAATCTCGACATCGCCGCACGGTCCGCCACCGCACCGCCTTGAAGCTCCCCCTCTGCGGCGGCAGCTCCAGGGAGCCTCCCATAGAGAGATGCCCGAGACCTGGCGGCTCTGGAGGCTGCATCGGGCCCCGCGGCCGCTCCGGAGCGCTCCAGAAGGCTCGGAGAGCGTTCCGTCGAGCGCTCTGGGGCGTTCTGTCCTGGTCCTGGGCCCGCCCGAAACTTTCTGAGACAACTCATGGAAGCCTCCCATACCATCTTGTCGGCTCTTGCGAATCGACGCTAGTCGACGCCAATCGGCGCTAAATCGACGCGAATCGACGCTAAATCGGCGCTATCTCATCCACTCCCAGACGCTGATCGACGCTAATCGACGCTAAAGACAACAGCATACCAGGCTCCCATGATTTTGCTACCGAGCCCCCCCAAGCTCGGGGGTTGCGAAATGGGGGATCGATAAACCCAGACCCCCTCGAGTCACGACAAAAATCACGACGGAGGTGTTTCGCCATTTTCGGCCTGTGGGGGCCCTTGCTGGGCCGCGGCACCGTCAAAAAAACTACTCGGAAGGAAAGACTGGTCCCAGGGAATGGGTCGAGTCTCCTGGGGGTCGACGTCATGAATAAATCGTGACGTCGAGAGTCTGGGGGAGAAACGTGCACCTCTCGTGCCCTTTGTGGGCCGCAGGGGGCACCCCCCGTCGGGGCCCCATCTGGGACACAGAGGGTGCAACTGTGATCTCCCCCTTGGAGCGACGAAAACACACGGGTGTCACGCGAGATGGCGTAGCAACCTTACGCGGTCGCTTGCACGGGCCCCCAGCGCGGCAGGCCACGCGGGGGAATAGGGCGCCACGCGGGGGAAGAGGGCGCCTACGCGCGACCTGGCGCGGGCAGCGTGCGCGCGAAGGTCGGCGAAGACGGCCCCGTCTTTCCGCGTCCCTTCGTTTGGGCGATTCCGAAAAGCCTGTACCAACAGAACGTCTTCATCTCTCGGGTGCGCATGTTTTACTTCCACCGCCTTCCGCCGAGCTTCCACCGAGCTTCCGCCGGCTTCCGCCAGCGGGGGGCGGCCTCGCTTTACTTCCGCCGCCCTTCCGCCGCCCCTCCGCCGCCTTCCGCCGCGGAAGAGATGACAACTCCTTCGATCCTCGAAGGCAAGGCCGTTTTTGGAAAGCCCCATTTGTTACCCCATTCCTCTCCCTCGAGCCTCGAGCCTCTTCCCCTCGATCCTCCCCCTCCTCCCTCCCACTCCTCCCCTCGATCCTCGAGCCTCTCCCTCGAGCCTCCGGCCCCTCCATCGCCCCCCCCGTGCGCAACGCCCGACGGAGCGCGCTGCGCCGTGCTGCGAACGGGGCGGCCGCCTGGTCGACGCAGGCCTCGCAGCCGTCGAGGCTGTTGCCCATGGCGCGCGGGAAGGGCGCCCCGCGGCGAGGAGCCCGTCGCAGGACGGCGCCAGGACAGGGGCAGAATCATGCGGCAGGTCCGTGTCGTGACGACCCCAGCGCTTGTTTCTGACACCGCGTGGATCGTTCAACCTTGAACGATCGGCGGGTATTCGATCGCCAGATCGTTCCATACTGGCCGATTCTGGGCCACTGGCGGCGTTCAACCCTTTACGCCCGCGGCGGAATCGCCGCCGGTCAGCACGACGCGAACCTACCGTATCGGGGCAACTCTGGGATCTCTGAGATGCTCCGTCCTTGCCGCCCTCCTCCCTCCTGCATCCTCCTTCTCCCTCCTCCGTCCTCCTTCTCCTCCCCTCTCCTCCTCCCTCCCCCTCCTCCTCCTCATCCGCGTCCTCCTCCTCATTCTCCTCCTCCTTCTCCTCCCGAAATAGACCCGATGCAGGCCTGGGCGACTTAATCGTTTTACAGCTTAGCGTCCGAGGCCGTTGGCGGATCGGACAACCCTCCTCCCTCAGATTCCTTGTCCCGTTTTCCCTCTTCCCCCTCTTCCTCTTCTTCCTCCTCTTCCTCCTCCCCCCTCCTTCCCCCCCTCCTCCCTCCTTCCCCCTCTTCCTCCTTCCCCCTCTTCCTCCCTCCCTCCCCCCCCCTCCTCCCTCTTCCCCCCCTCCTCCCTCTTCCCCCCCTCGCTCATCCTCGTTCTCCTCTTCCTCCTCTTCCTCCTCCTCCTTCTCTTGCTCACGGCGCCCGGTGTCGAGCCAGAGGGCCAGCATCACTGTAAAGACAAAGGGCCAGAAAAAAACATCGTAAACAAAACAGGTGCTCCAGATGTTCTGGCTTTTGAAAACTACGCGCGCTCCTGAAATCCCGAGGATTACTTGGGATGCTCCAGTACTCCGAAGGACTTCTCGGGTGGGGCGGGGGCACGGGTTCGCATGGATTACTGAGCACGCCTGTGAGTTCCGAAGGCTTCCCAGCAATCCCTGAGGATCCCTAGTAACCGCATACGAATGAATAAGAAGTGTTTAGGGTTACTCAGAATTCCGCCGGCTCCCTGAGGATTCCAGTCCCTGGGACCCCTGAGGGTTCGGATTATTGAGAGTCCTCAGGATCCGTGGACTCCTGAAATCATCGCATTCCGAAGAATTGAAATCCTAGGAACGCTCAGGAACTTATGTGAATGCGTAGGCCGAACCCGTTCACCCCCCAATGAAGATTTCGGAATACGATGGAATCCTTCGGAATTCCGAATGATCCGAGGGACTCCCAAATACGTCCTAGGAGTTACTAAAGACCCTTGGGTGTTGTTTGGGACCTGAAAATATCCATCGGAATGCTCGGGAACCTATGCGGATCCGTACGCCGAACCCGTCCTGCCCACCCCAAGGAGACCCTTGGAATGCTAAGGAATCCGTTTCGATTCCAATTGATGTGATGGATTTCCTCAGTAAAGTAACGAAGCTAAAGAACCCACGGGGATCCGCATGATCATCAGCAATCCGAACCCTAAGGAGCCCGAAGGAATCCTCAGGATGGCAAGGGAGCCTCAGGGATCGATCGCGCAAAAGCCGAACGTTCATCGGCCCGCTGCTGCTCCTCCTCATCGTCATCCCTCCTCATCCTCCTTTCCCCCCTTCTCTGCTCGCGGCACCTTCTGTCTAGCCAGAGGCTCCGTGAGAGACCAGTGTAAAACAAACATGTGTTGCAGGTCCGAGGGCCAGCAAACAGTGTAAAACATATATGTTTGTTATGTGTTCATGCGTTTGCGAATTCTATTTACCAGAGCGCGCATAGATCCACAAAAACATAGCAGACAAATTTGTGGAACAAAGGCATGTGTGTTACTGTTTTTGCTGGCGTTCGAGCCGGCATGACTGTAGTTTGCACTGTTTGCTGGCCCTCGGGCTTCACGCCAGGCGCGACGAGCAAGAGATGCAGGGGGAGGACAAGTGAGGAGGAGCACGACAACCAGAGTGAACCCAAGATGCATCAACCGATGCATCCAATCCCCGTCTCAAGTCGCCTCCTCATACGTGCATGTCAGTATTCCTTCCCACTGCGGGCGCCACCCCCCTTGAAGGAAGGGTGGCCGGTCGGTCCGCCAGTCAGACGAGGGCGCCCGTTATCAAGGATCCCCCCATCCACTCGAAGGGCGCCCAAGGTAGCCCCGTTTTGAAAAGCACATGCCCTTTATCCGCTCAAGCTTTGCAGGATGTCACAGTTGTGTATATGTGCCTCGCGGACGTCCCGCGCGAAACTCATTTTGAAAAACACCTGCACTACATCCGCTTCAGCGTTGCAGGATGTCAAACCCGTGGACGCACGTTTCGCGGAAATCTCACGCGAGAGCCCTGCTTCGAAGGGGGGGCTAACCTCTAGCTGTGTTCGCAGTTGCACAGTGTGGAACACCTGGTCGTAGGGAATCGAGGAAGGATCTCGCGTGTAAAAGGTGGACTTTGTATTCGAACGGGGGCGAGGCCAGTGGGATACCCCAAGAGGATGGAGAGCTCGTTAAGGAATGTGCCCAAGAGGCTGCAGACTTTGGAGGGCTCCTTCTCTGATGTAGCGGCGGTGATGTCCATGGCGGGTCCACGATTGGAATTCAACCGGCTTCTAGACCTTAGATTCCTTTTCGCGGGATTCCTGGTCCCATGCCCACGCTGTCTTGGACATCCTGGACAGGACTCGCCATTCACTCGCGCGGCGAAGGCAAGTGTGGAAGCCGAGTGTACAGGGCGCCAGGGCGAGAGCCCCCTTTTGAAAACGATCCGCCGTCCATCTCATGTTGCTTGTGAAAAGCGATGATGTGCTGCGCCAGCAAAACGGGGGCCCCATTGTGGGCACAGTCTGTGGCCCACGTGTCAACGCTATCTGAATGCAGCTGCTCCTTGAGGCCTCCTGCGGCGACGGGGGCGATGAGGATGAGGATGTGGATGTTATTGCTGCTGGTGGCGACGGCGAGCCTGCGAGCGCTTGGGGAGGGATCGTAGCGCCTGGGAGCGTCTGGGAGAGCCTTGGAGCGTCTGGGAACGCCTTACCCGGGAAACGCTTGAATGCAAAATCGGAACCGGCAAAGGGTGCCCGAAACGTATCGACTTATTATGTCTGTGCCTCTAGGTTTATGTATGGTTCTTTCTGCCACTTGTGCCCAAGGGCTCTTCGGGGCCAGGAGGTGGGTCGGTGTTGATGGCCAGGGGATGAGCAGCGAATGCTGTTTTTTGTTCAACGGATGGTGAGGGTTGGGTAGGATGGATTTGCACTGAATTGGACGTGCTGCATAAGATGGTGGGGGTTCGTCGGATGGATGTGCACCGGCTGATACCATTTGCATATGATGGTGAGGATCGGGTCAAATGGATGTGCACCGAACAGAACGTATTGCGTCGAATGGTAAGGGTTGGGACGTATGGATTCGCGCCGAAAAATATCATCTTACGTAGGATGGTGAGGGTTGGGACGCATGGATGTTTACAGATTTGTGCTATGTTGCTTCGGATGGTCATGATTGGGTCATATGGATGTGCGCCGAATGCGATGTTTTGCGCCGGATGGTGAGGGTTGGATCGTATGGACGTGAGCGCCGCTAGACAAGGGCCACATTTTGAAAAAGAGCCAGCCTTCATCCTTGAACTGCTGCAACGTGTGAAACGAATAATATGCGCGAAGCAACAGCGAGAGCCACATGTTTTTAATATATATATATATATATATATATATGATAAAAGATGATACAATAATAATAATAATAACAATTATAATAATAATAATAATAATAATAATAATAATAATAATAATAATAATAATAATAACAGTAATAACGATAATTATTAATGATAATAACAAAAATGATAATAACAATAAGAATATTAATAATAATAATGATGGTAATAGTAATAGTAATAACAATAATAAGAATACAAATAACAATAATAATAATAATTATGATAATAAAAATAATAATGAACCAAACTGGCCTCAATCCTTGACGTTGTTGCGAATTACACGTTTCAGTATCCTAATTGGCGAAGAAGTCTCAGTCGAAACGCCTGGCCCCGCCTATGGACACGTCCGCTTGTGCGACAGGGAGGAGCCATCTATAAGGAAAAGGAATCGAGGAGCGAGGAGGAGGAGGAGGAGGAGGAGGAGGAGGAGGAGGAAGAGGAAAACCATGAAAGGAAGATGAGGGAGGAGGATTGCCTGGTCCTCCAGTGGCCTGAGACGCCAAGCTGGCAGACGATTTGATCGCAGAGCCATGCATCGAGTCTACCGCCCCCCTCCTCCTCCTCCTCCTCCTCCTCCTCCTCCTCCTCATCCTCCTCCTCCTCCTCCTCCTCCTGCGGTTCTGGAGGATATGTCGGGCGCCGCGGCCTTCTCGGAGAGTTCCAGAGCGCTCCGAGAGCGCCCCATGACGCTCTGGATCGATCTGTCCCTGTCGTAGCCCCGCCCGAAGCAGCCCGGGGGGGGGGGAGGGGGGCGCAGCGCCCCCTGCGGGCCCGGATCGAGAGAGATAGAGAGAGAGAGAGATGGACAGAGAGAGAAAAGAGAGAGATATATATATATATATATATATACATACATAGAGAGAGAGAGAAGGAAAACAGAGAGAGGGAGAGACATCAAACAACGGCAAGGACGAGCAGGGGAAGCTCGCCTCCCTGCCGACCCCGACCCCGCTCCGAGCCAGTGAAGGGCTTGTCGAGCGCGAGCGGCAGGAAGGGCGGCGGCCACCGCTCGGGGGCCGCCTCCCCTGGGCCTCGAGGGGCGGCGGGTGCGGACACCTGCCTGCGCGCCGTGGGCGGGCAGGCATCCGTGCAGTCCTCGTGCTGTATGCGAAGGAGCCCTTCCGGCCACGGCGAGCCTCGGCCACGAGCGTGCCCCGCGAGGCCGGGTCCACGGAGCGGCCCGAAGACCAGAGACCCTCCTGAGCTCCAAGTGGTCCTCGTTTCAGCGTCTCGGCTGTATGTCACAGCTACCGCTCTGCAGTCCCTGGGTGAGGGGCATCGATTGGGTGGGGGACTGGAACTGGGGGAGACGCATCGACGTGGAATCGGCGATGCGTCGCCGACAGATCAGCCACAGGCCCGCGATAATGAGTCCGCACCTTCATGGGCGGGTTGGGGCCATCGGGCCCCTGCCGGCGATCAATGGGCGACTGAGGGTCGACGCATCCCCTGCCGCCCCGTGTGCCAATCCCGCCCCTGGCGCTGCCGCTGACTGGATCGCGCCCCCGCGGGCATCTGGACGTGGGCACGCACTGGCGGCGAAAGGGGGGGGGGAACCAGGCCCGCCGCGCCGAGCCGGGGATTGGGAGCGAAGTGCGGGAGCGGCAATAAAGGAGGCAGGAGGAGGGGGGGGCAGGGATGAGAAGGCGAAAACCCACCCCCACCTCCAGTCCCGACACCATTTCCGAACCCAGGATCCAGGGGGTCGGGGCTGGGGGTGGCGGTGGGCTTTCGGGGTCCAGAAATGGAGAAAAACCCACCCCCACCCCAGTCCCGACCCCCTGGATCGCGGGCTCGGGGGTGGGCGTCGGGACTGGGGGTGGGGGTGGGTTTTCGCCGTCTCAAGGGAGGGCTGCCGAAAAGGGCCCTGGAGGGTCTCTATCGGGTCCCTACAGGGGGACCTCTGGGGCCCGAGAAGGCCACCTGTCTCCCTCCCCCCCTTCTAGTTGTCGCCCCCCCGTTGATCGGCGCCGCCCAAGGGGAAGGCCGGAGGCAAGGGCCAGGGGGGGCCGTCCACAAGACGCGGGGCCAGGCCTGGCCGTGGAGGAGGGGCCCAGCGGGACCAGGGGGGGACCGCATCCCAGACATGCTCGCGTCGTGAAAAACACGCACAAAACAAACAGACAAACAAAAACAAACAAGACAAAACAAAAAGGCTGGAAATTTGAAGCCGTTTTCGGCCTCCCGGGGCCCTCGCCGGGCCCAAACCTTGAAGAAACAACCCGGGATGAAAAACCGGCCCCGGGGAAGGGGTCGGGACTTATGGGAACCCTGTTAGATTTGTAGATACATATACATATACATATACATATACATATACATATATATATATATATATATATATACATATATATATATATAAAAATGACCATATACATATAGGTTAATCTATATATATGTTTACACACATATGTAAACACCTATACGACCACCCTGCGGGTGATAAGGAGGTTGGGGAGGGCCGCAATGGGCAAAAGTGGTGATTGCTGTTCTGACGATGCCTGTGGTGCGGAGTCTAGTGAGTAGTGTGATCTGGATGTGCAAATCGATTTGCATTTCGATTTGCTTTTTGGTCTGCATGTCAGTTTGCATGCAGACTTGCATTGGATAGCTCGTCGCAAGCGGCGATGTGTTGAAATGCACAACCCACGGCGGGACACCGGCGGGACACCAGCGGGACACCGCGGGCCACCGTTTGACGGGAGAAGCATCATTTGGTCCGGCCGCGGCCCAGCCACAGGAGGATTTCGGGACACCAGCGGGACACCGGCGGGACACCGCGCGGCACCAGCCGTTGGAGGAGAAACATTTGGTCCGGCCGCGGCCCAGCCACAAGAGGATTTCGGAACACCGGCGGGACACCGGCGGGACACCGCGGGGCACCAGCCGCCAAAGGAGTTACATTTGGTCCGGCCGCGGCCCAGCCACAGGAGGATGTCCTATCGACCGCCCACGCAGCTTCGCCTCGCCCGCACGCACGCATGGCACGCACGACACGAACCCGAAACCGAAATCGATTTCCCGGTAGGGGGGGTCTCCGTTTCACGTCGGACTCACCCCCCAACCTCCGATATAATAAGAATAAGAATAACGATAATAGTAATGATAGCAATAATAATAATACTGATCACACTGATGATAATAATACGAATAGTAGCAATACTAATGATGATGATAATAATGCTAACAATAATATTATTATTAATAATTAAAATGAAGATGATATTACTAATACTAATAATGAATATATAACGAATGGCATTGCATGTCTCGGATAGTATAGTTTCGACCACCTCCCTTGGACTTTCAAGCCACCCCCCTGGACCCGCGAAAACCCGTCCCCCCCAACATCTGGCGCTCCACATTTTTCGACGTGTCGACCCCCGCAGGTCTGCACAACTTCCCTCACAGGGCCAGATTTTCGTCCTGGGTCGTTGTTCGACAGCCCCAAGGGCCCCTGGAAGCCAAAAAAACAAAACCCAAACCGGTCGCTCCGATTTTGTCGGAGGCTCGGATCTCTGGGGCCCAACCCCCATGCCGCCCTCCAGTTGCTGGCGAGCGAGGGGGGGGGGAGTGAAAAGAAAAGGCCTTCTCAGAAGGCGGCGGGACTTCTCAGAAGCCCTCGCGACTTCTGAGCGGTTTTCTACGTCTTCAGGGAAGGCTTAGAAAACTTCTCAGATGGCCCGGGGACTTCCGAGCCTACTGAGAGGGCCCGATCGAGAGCCTCTTAAAGTCCTTGCGGCTCGGAAAGGCCTGCGGAGAGGCAGCAGGAGGAGAACCAACGGTAACCGACGCAACAAACAATAGCTGACTCACCTGTCGGGTGCACCCTACGCCTGACCCAGGGCCCAACGTGGGACTCCAGGGGGCAACCATGCTGATGCCTTCAACGCCTGAACCAAAACACTTGGATGCTGGAGCCCTCGGTTTGCTGGCAGCCGTCCTGATTTGTAGGTCTGCCGTGCCAGGGGGGGCCTCGCTCGCGATCAGAGGGGGTCTCACGTCAACATCCTCAGCCCGTTCAACTGGAATGACGGTCCCATG